GACAAGAATGCAGAATACATAAATTGGTGAAATCTGGAATCTATACTACAAAAATAGTCAGCCTGAAAAAAAAATGTTTAAGTAAGCTTTAATTCTATATGTTTACACAAGTCATGACTTTCATACGGTGATGCTCCAAGAATTTTTTTCTTTTGCAGCCTTTTCCCCCATTTTTATCTGAGGCCTCCTTTGGTATTATTTTCCCATCTCATTCCCTGTCCAAAGGCGGTTAACTATGAGTATGGCAGTATGCGTTGACTTGGATTTCAACCCACACGCGTTTAAAGTCCTCCAGTGTAGTACAGATTGATGTCCAGCTTTGCAGCAATCCATCTGTTACATAAAACTAGTTACATAATTCTAAACACATCTGGGGACCAAGTGTTTCTCTTCCACCTAATGACTATGAACAGTGTATACATGCTTAATGTAAATCCAGAGTCAGAACAAGGCTCCTGTGTGGTGATGGGAATTTACATCTGAAAACATTAGGTATGTAAGCATATTTTTATACAAAGTGTGCACGCAACATAGCTCCAACCTCTGTTCTATTCCCATACAGCATTCAAAACTAACATCTGCTAATCCAACATGTTTAAGGAACCCAAAATATATATTTGTAAAGTGTAAACTAAACTCACTTATCTTTCACAAAGGTCAGAAACTTCTATTCTTGTCTGTTAAACACTACCATATTCCAGTTTAATAGAAAAAAATACTGGAAAACACCCAATGTTCCCCCCAAACCCTGCCTCTAAAACAGTGGTAAGTCTCCATAATGCAAAGTATACACTGATGTCAGTTTGTTTCTAAATATGCATATTTATATATATACTGTATATATATATATATATATATATATATATGTGTGTGTGTGTGTGTGTGTGTGTATGTATAGTGCATGCATAAAGTGTTCAGACCCCCTTTTTTCAATTTTGTTATGTTGCAGGCTGATACTACAATTGTTTAAATTCTTTTTCTTCTCATTAATCTACACTCAGTAGACACTATATTGCCAAAGTATTGGGCCACCTGACTTTACATGCACATGTACTTTAATGGCATCCCAGTCTTGGTCCATAGGGTTCAATATTGAGTTGGCCCCGCCCTTTGCAGCTATAACAGCTTCAACTCTTCTGGGAAGGCTATCCACAAGGTTTAGGAGTGTGTCTATGGGAAGGTTTGACCATTCTTTCAGAATTTGTGAGGTCTGGCACTGATCTCGGATGAGAAGACCTGACTCGCAGTCTCTGCTCTAATTCATTCCAAATATGTTCTATCGGGTTGAGGTGGGAACAACAGCAACTCAGCCATGAAGTGGTAGGCCATGTAAAATGACAGAGCGGTGTCAGCACGTGCTGAAGCACACAGTGCGTAGAATTCGCCAATTGTCTGCAGAGTCAATAGCTAAAGACCTCCAAACTTTGTGTGGCCTTCAGATTAGCACAACAACAGTGCATAGAGAGCTTCATGGAATGGGTTTCCATGGCCGAGCAGCTGCATCCAAGCCTTACACCACCAAGTGCAATGCAAAGTGTTGGATGCAGTGGTATAAAGCACACCGGCACTGGACTCTAGAGCAGTGGAGATGTTCTCTGGAGTGACGAATCACGCTTCTCTATCTGGTAATCGGATGGACGTGTCTGTGTTCGGCAGTTGCCAGGAGAAAGGTACTTTCCTGACTGCATTATGCCAAGTGTAAAGTTTGGTGGAGGGGGGATTATGAAGTGGGGTTGTTTTTCAGGGGTTGGGCTTGGGGCCTTAGTTCCAGTGAAGGGAACTCTTAAGGCATCAGCATGCCAAGACATTTTGGACAATTTCATCAAACAGAAAATTGATGTTGCGCAAATCACAATAATGCCACAGACATTCCAAAACAAATAATGAGATGAGAATGTCTGTGACATTATTGTGATTACCACAACATCAATTTTCTGTTTGTTGTTTTTTGCTAGTGGTATAGCCAGGTGTGTGCTGCTGTCCCAATAGTCCCATCTTTTCTAGTAGTGGCACGAAAAGTTGTTTACATATTTTGGACAATTTCATGCTCCCAACTTTTTTGGGGACATTTTGGGGATGGCCCCTTCCTGTTCCAACATGACTCGCATCAGTGCACAAAGCAAGGTCCATAAAGACATGGGTGAGCGAGTTTGAGTTGAAGGAACTTCACTGTTCTACACAGAGTCCTGACTTCAACCCGATAGAACACCTTTGAGATGAATTAGAGCAGAGATTGTGAGCCAGGCCTTCTCGTCCCACATCAGTGTCTGACCTCACAAATGTGCTTCTAGAAAAATGGTCAAACATTCCCATAGACACACTCCTAAACCTTGTAGACAGCCCTCCCAGAAGAGTTGAAACTGTTATAGCTGCAAAGGGTGGGCCAACTCAATATTGAACCCTGCACATTGTGTGTTAAGGCAGGCATCCCAATCCTTTTGGCAATATAATGTGTGTGTGTATATATATATATATATATATATATATATATATATATGTGTTTAAGAGAAAAAAGGAACACATTCCTCAGGGATCCATGAATAATTTCCTATTTTGTAATTAGTATTTCAATCACCTGTATAGAGTAGTCTCAATTATACAATTTCAGTTCCATGTACACTATAATTTAGAGTTTTGTGCAAAAGGTTGATAGATGTGTTTCATGCCAGAGGAAGGGCTGATCACATTGATCTGACCTGCAATTTTTTTAATCACTTTTGTATGTTTTTTTTTTCCGAATATAATATTGTTGAGTGCTGTATAAATTATGGCTGGATGGGACAGCCTGGTTACATGGTACTGGTGATTGTGTCCAGGTACGGTTCACCTTAGGCCTCATTCACACAAGCGTACTTAAGAGTACACCAGGGTGAGGGTCATGTTTGCCAACACTGGATGCATGTTCCTTGCAACCATTTGCAGGCAGTCCCATTCATGTCCATTGGGACCAGGGGCGGACTGACCATTTGGAAACTCGGGCACTGCCCGAGGGCCCTGGGTCAGTAGGGGGCCCCATGAGATGCCCCTGGTACCTTTTTCATAGGCTTTTTTGGGTTTGGGCAAGGACACAGGGGCCCCATAATCCCCTATTGCCCGGGGGCCCCATGAGTTGTCAGTCCGCCCCTGATTGGGACACAGCAGTTTGTGGTACACGCACCCACCAGCTTCTCAGATTGGAAGCAGCAGCTGAGTTTGTGCAGAGGCTGCATCCCAATTGACATGAATGGGGCTGACTGCACGTGGATGCACAGAACATCTGTACATCCTGTACGGGCAAACACGGCCCTCACACGGCTGTATGCTTGAATACGCCTGTGTGAATAAGGCATTATAAACACACCACACACACACATGTGCTTATTGATGGACCTACTGCAGGTTGGCAGCAAAATGAACTCAAGACAAAACTTTTAGGATAGAATGGAGAAGGACTAGAATATTTGTCACGTTTTTATTATTGCCTGTGCCACTATTAGGCCTGGTTCACACCAATGCACTGTGGTTTTTGCCCGTTTTGCAATGTTTTTGCAGAGAGTTTGTGCAACATTTTTATTGAGTTTTTCCAGCTTTTTTTTGTTAAAGTGGACTCTTTTTTGTTGCTGGGCAGAATAAAAACACAAAACGTGGCACAAACACACTATATGTGTTTCAGCAGCTTCTCCATTGAACTCAATTGTAGCAAAAACACTGCTTTTAAAAAAGTCCCTGGTCCTTTCCAAAATGCAACAGCTCAAAAAAGTATAAATGTGAACATGTCCCATATACAACCATGTTAAATGGACTGTAGTGCGTTTCTGCAAAAAGCACTAAAAAACGCATAGTTGTGAACCAATGGTACATACAATGATCATCAATACAATGAACAATAATATTCAGCGCTCACACAATACAGAATAGGATAGCGACGAATGGCTAAAATTAGAAGCAAAAGTTAGGACTGACTGTACAATGGATGTGGTGACGGTGGTCATGGAATCAATGAGTCCATAGGATGGGCAGAATAAGGAAGAAGTGGACCAAGGAGACAAGGCATATGGGATGGAACCGGCAGCTCCTCATCAGGGATGAGGGAGATCCCATGCAATGGATTCTGTGACAGTTGTAAAAACAATCAATGCATCCTTAAGATGCGCAAAATGAAGAAGGGATGGACCAGAGGAACAAGGCACATGGGATAGGACTGGCAGCTCCTTATCAAGGATGTGGGGGATCCCTCAGAGACAAGCAGAAGAGAAAAGAGGGCGCCAGGTCAGAGTGAATAAAAAACATGTAAACTTTATTACAGAAGACTTAAATCTAAAATTCCTTCACTCGGCATGCAAAATGAGAAGGCAGACAGAGGAGCAGGACCACGGTTCACTCTGATGGATGGATGCTGCCTACATAGATCCATCCAGCAGAATGAACTACAGTCCTGCTCCTCTGTCTGCCTTCTCATTCTGCATGCCGAGCGAAGGAATTTTAGATGTAAGTCTTCTGTAATAAAGTTTACATGTTTTTTACTCACTCTGACCTGGCGCCCTCTTTTCTCTTCTAGGTGTGAACCAGGCCTTAGTAAGATTCAACTTCCATCGGTAAACACATAAAATATGACAGAGACATAAGAAGGGAGAGATCCCATGATTGTCTGTTTTATTGGGGATATTTCCCTTCCCCTTTCCCATCTATCTACAGTATGTCTTGTCCAAAACAGGATGCAAACAGTAGTAAAAACTTGGATGAATTTCTAATACTTTTTCACATTAGTCATTTTTTTTTAAATATACCTGATGTTCCATTTTACACATGACCTGCACTAAATGGTATTTGGATCTAAAAATAGTCACAAAATACATTCCCAATGCATTTTAAAATATATACAAATTTTTTTCTGTACAAAACAATTCACCGTTTATGGTAACACCATATCTATCAGTGAATGGAATGTGTGATGCCCCTTTGTGAAGTATCTAGGACATACAGATACATACTGTATTGGCAAAGCAGCCAGTTTGTATTACCTTTCACAGGGCAATCCAGGGTCACATTCAGTCCTGGTCTGGTCACCAAATTGTCACCCACAATGGCCAATATGCTGTCTCTGTTCAAGCTGGTGATGTTCCTTCTGAAGGTCTGGATGACAGGTGCCTCTTTAATTGAAAGCAAAAAACATATGGGTATTTTTCTTTGAATTATATTGTATGATATGTCAATGAAAGAAAAAGTCTCACATTGGAACAGCTTAGGGAATTATAACCCGATAAAATAGGAATTATTAGTCAGTTAATGACAAAACTGTCTTGGTGGGCAAATAGCATAAAGCCAAAAGACAACAGTACCTCGTAGATAGGGAAGAAATCTACAAAAAGTTAAATCAGGTATTTAATGAGGTGCTGAATGATATATTTAAAACTCTGATAGACAGGTGATACAGCATTATTCATGGAAACAAACAATAATGTGCCAGTGCTCATGTATGGGATAATTATCAACTAATAAAAATCAATTAGGCGATCTTTGCTGAACACTGTTTTATATAGGTTGCCAGGTACTCCTGCGGATGTTGAATGCCAAGGATGGAGGATGTACGGTAGGTCATACAGTATAAGGGTCACTCTTGCATATACAATATATACACTTCTAGTTCCCACAACAAAATAGACATTTAGCATGTGTACTGAACTTCTCTGAGGGTCACACTTGGCCATTGCTAGGGATGGCTAGATCTGCTGCAGATGGGACTGCCCTTACCTGCCCAGTTCAACCTCAATTTAACTTGTACAAGATCATTTAAACTTATTCAAAAGTACATTTTGATAGTAAGCCATATGGTACCTCGGTAGTAATAAAGTAATACCTAGTGGGCAACTTACCTGCAAAGTATAAGTGTGAATATTCCATATCAGATCCTTGTCCATTAACAGCTGTACACTGATACAAGCCCATATCTTCCACCGCTGGATCTTCTATAAGAAGTGTTCTACTGTTCTCTAAAGATATCCTATGGAAAAGAACAAACTCTACTTGATTAACAAGGAACTAGAAGATGACAACTAGATTCCAATTACTGAAACTTGAAAAATAAAGTTATTTTGACCTGTTTTGATGCTTGTCAAGTAGAAATGAATGGCCCACACACTGATAAAATCATTGATGTAAAACCAGTTTTAATACAATAAATAGAGGATTCACAACATATAGTCTTGCCTGTCCGCCTCCTGCTCCAACATGCTTTACTTAACAATGGCTTTAATCATGGAGACTCCATGGGGTTGATTTACCAAAACTGGAGAGTGCAAAATCTGGTGCAGCTCTACATAGAAACCAATCAGCTTTTAGTTTTTTTTGTCAAAGCTTAACTGAACAAGCTGAAGTTAGAAGTTAGAAGCTGATTGGCTATCATGCACAGCTGTACAAGATTTTGCACTCTCCAGATTTAGTAAATAACCCCCATGGGTCCTTTATATGGACAATTTCAAGACTCTAGCATGAGTCTCTATACCAAAAATTACAGGAATATATATTTATTTAGAAACAATGTTCTTCCTTTAACATCTCTTAGGAATTAGACATGTGCACGCTGGAAAATGTTTGTTTAGTTTCTGATGCATTAGTTCATGGAATGAGTTTCATGTCATTCTACCTGCACTGTCATTGGCTCCTGCACATGTCAATCACCGGATCCTGGCCAGGACACGGCGATCAGCAGAGCAACTGACTAGAGAGAGAACTGTGTATGTAAACAACACAGATCTCTCTCCTATCAGCGGGGATGTGCCAGTTTCTATCTCCCTGCAAATTGATCAAATACCACCAAAAGAAACCTCTATTTGTGTGAAAAAATTATATAAATTTAATTTTATGTACAGTGTTGCATGACCGCAGAGTTGTCAGTAGTGCAGTGCCTTATAGCAAAAAATGGCCTGGTCATGAAGGTGGGTAAATCTTCCAGAGAGCAAGTGGTTAACTCAGCTTGGTCTGGAGTTACTTAAGGACAATCTTGAAGAGGTGCAATGCATGTATGGTGTATCACAAGAATGGGGCTTAATAAGGAGATGAGGTAGGGAAGATGCAGTACAATTGTCTAACATGCAGTGAAGCTATTCGGAAGCTATATAGCTGTTTCTAATGACTACCATACTAGTGTTGAGTGCATAATCAGCCAGCTGATTGGGAAGCAGTGTGACTTAGCATAGGTGATGGAAGTAGTTAAGGACCTTGTGTGCTTAGGCTCCTTTCCCAGCAAGCAAGACCCCAAAACTGGGTCAGATGTCCTAGGGATCCAGCCTGGGAGTCACAAAAGATGGAGTGAGGCCTCAGGACAAGTGTAAGCATGAGATATGTATAAGAGTTCAGCGGTACAGCTCAAAATGCTTCACAGTATAGAGAGTAGAGTTATGAAGTGTATTGGAAAACTGTTATGCATAGTGTACAGAGTTGAGAACTGTGCCACAAACTACAAGGAGTTAATTATGTGTTAATTTTGAGAAGTATCACTTTTATGCTGGAGTGCAGCCTTAATGCTAAGCTTGTTCATTGGCAGATTTAGCCAGCCATAGGGGGCACTAGCAAGCGCTCTCTCTGGGTCCCAACATGGGCACAGTAAGCCCTGCCCACAGACCCCTGGTGGTTTCTGAAACCCTGACAAATCCTTTTACAGAAGATAATTTGCTATGGTACCATCCATCAGTTGGCCCAGCACCCCTCAGTTGCGTGTATGTTGGGCCAGCGTACAATTGAGATATTTATATGATCAAATGGCATAGAATGGCTGCTCCCTCCAGTCCTCTGCATGCTTCCCCTGGACAAAATCCTCCCTCACTGCTGTTGTGGTTCTCCTTCACTTCTCTACTCTACAGTTTCTGGCAGCAAGGCACACTCTGCCACCCCCATCATCCCAACCCCCTAATGTTCAAGCCCACTTGGCGTAAGCTGCAGGAACATAATGGCAATTGCTGCTCCCTGCTTGTTTTCCTCTCTTTTGGTGCCATTTTTCTTAATGTCTGATAACATGAGCATCCTATTGCAGCAAGATACTGATGCTATTCTGAAATATTCAGCTGACTCCTCCATGCCATTTTTCAGGGTAACAGTGGGACCAGCTAAAAAGGAAGAGGGTGCATTTGCAGCTTCTGGAGACAATGCACTGCTCTACAACCAGGAGGAGGAGGATGGGGAAGGCTTGGTGAGCCACTCTATGATCTCCTCCACCTGTTTTGACTGTATAGCATTGCAAGAAAGAAAAACATACCTTTCTTGCTCTTCGGATACTCTCATTCTAGAGAAGAATATTGCCTACAAAAAGGCTAAGAAAGGCTAGCATAGGACCCCAAGGCCCATTTATTTTCCATTCCTGGGTAGATTATGTCTTCTTATAAATGGTAAACCTCTGTGTTGGGCATTTGTGTATATTGTTTTGATTGAGGGGATACTATAGTAGATCATAAGGCAGCATAAGACCACTCCATGAACAGGCAATACTGAAGCTGACAGCATAATATGATACAGTAACGTATGGATATTCCCAGGTTCCTGGTGATGTTTTTTTTTTTTGAGAATGTAGCGAATATACCTTTTTCAGCAACAATTTTTCTTTCTTTTTACATGTATGTTCCTACATGTTCTGATAGTGCTTTGTAATGAGCAACCTACAAATTATGTAAACGTTTTTTTACCCTCTTTTGTTCTGTAAATTGAAATCTGATTAATAAAAACCATTGGAAAAGAAAAAGCAGATGTCCCCTGCCTCCCAAAGTGTGGCTGACCACCTCTTTGTCCTGCAGATGTGGAACCTGCTCATTCCCTTCTAACTGCACAAGAAGACCCTTTGCCTCTCCCTTTCAGCCTACCAGAAATGATGCATACAGGGGATTCCCTAAGTTTATTAGCAGCTATGGCAATAGGGGGATTAGGGAGGTAGTGCTCTGTTGCACTTAACACTGTGGTGATTTAGCCCACCACAGTGTACTGCACAAGTATGCAATGATGTGCTGAAAACAGATTAGTTTTGTTAGCTCACCATACTGCAATTCATGGTAATGTAGCAGAAAACAGCATACACTATCTTTCCTAGAAAACAGATTGTCAGCTCTCCCTATTTACTCCAAGTCTCCACATACACTGACAGAGAGCAGTCTGGAACCCTGGAATATAAGAAAGCCCATATTACTGGTCCTTCTAAGCCTCTTAAGTACAGCTAAAAGGCCAATAAGGGCAATATTGAAAATTGCTTTCGTGATGAATGGTTGCATGACTTCACCATTTTCCCAAAATGTGAATGGCTTGCATTCACACTGAACTGTTTTACCCAAACCCAGAGTTCGTCTCTAATGGCAACCTGGGCAGACATACAAAATTTCCAGACTGGGCTTGCATGCTATGTATTTAAACTATTACTAAACCCACAACAGTAAAATCAGTCTGTATATGCAGAAAGCATGCTTGGCATACTCACTGTGAAATCTTTGTGTAAAAAAGATGTTTGATCCTGTCTTCTCTGATCTTCCCCTCCTTCTACTTTTCCCCAATATATCTCCTGATAGAACAGGGGCTTGGAGGCAAGCTGCAAAAGTTCAGTTTGGTATGCATTGCTAGAGGTTTTTTTTTTCTTGGGAGAGTGCATGTGATGAACACAGGACCAATCAACGCTGTCCAGACAGAGGGTCAGAGGTCATGCAGCCTCATAGGGGAGAATGGAAACTCCTCCTAAAAGCTTTAACCAGTGCTCTGCTGGACACTGGTAGAAGTTACAAGACTGCTCTAACTGCTGATGCGAAAAGGTATTTCGCAGTTTATATTTACTAAAATAATTGCATTTTCATGTTCTGTATACTGTGGGAGACCAGATAGAGTGAATGCAGGATCCTGGGTTTAGTAAGACTTTAAGCCTTTTACCATTTGCTCATATAGTTGCTGTACCATTTCACAGTGTTCTGTAACTTTCTGTTTAAAAAAAAGTTGTCTTTAGAGTGAGAAGTGGAATGATCTTTCGGTTTGCCCCAACCAATTTATATACTAGGTGTAATATATCCCCACAGAGCGCTATTTGCCTGGGTTCAGTGCACTGCCAAAACCAAACAAAGCCTAATCTCTTAATTCTCTGATTGAATGGGGAGACTACAGAACAGAGCCGTCAATCATTATTCAGGGAATTGCAGAAGGATTCAGTGCTGGCAGAGAATACATAGTGTGTGCCATTTTAAAACTACCATGTGGCGAGGTAAGAGGGAAGTTAGCACAGTCTCTTGTGTGCCACTAATACAGAAAAGTACATACATTGCCAGCAGTGAAAGCCTCAACAAGGCTTGCCTAATTTTTAAGATTCGTTTATGAAAATATTTGCTATAGACTTTTTGGTATTCTGCATTTAATCACATGGCTCAAGGGATGCATAACAGGGAATTCTTCCAAGCTAAAATAGGCTGAATGAAGGATGAATATAATAAAAGGAAACATGGCAAAAGTACATAAAAATCCTCCAGAAACTCAAGTCCATAGGTCTGATGCTTGTGACTAATCGTTGCCAAGTCTAAGGATCAAGGTTGATTTCTGGTTTATGTCCCTTTTCTTCTGCTGCCCATGTCCTGAACTTGTTTTTCAAACAGCAAAATAGCAATCTTTGCATTGAGCACAACATGGTTAGATTGGTAAATAGACTAAGAAAAGCTGCCTTGGAAAGTACAAGTGCAGTTCCAAACAATCCAGGATTAACAAATGATTTTGGCCAATGGCAAATGATCCTCTATTAGCCATAGCAGTAAAAGGCCTGTTGATAAAGCTTTCTCCCAAACTTGACTCAAATGTAATTACACTTATCACTCTAGTTAATAATGAACATAAGCGGATGAATTTACAGTTTATCTGAGCAAAAAGGCTGAGCTAGCAGTTACCAAGACTTTATT